TATAAATAAATAAAATAAAATGTTGAAAAAAAAAATAAAGTCTATTTAAATTGGCATTCAATAATCAAAGGAAAATATAGTAATATCCCAACTATATTAATATACCTTTTTTTTTTTGGCAGAACCAGAGATTGAACTTGGACCCTTGTGCTTGCCAAGGAAGCACTTATTCTACTGAGCCATTTCCCCAGCCTTTATATTAATAATTTTTTAAAAATTTTCATCCCTCAGAGTACTTCCCTAATTTTTTTTTTTTTTTTTTTTTTTGATATATGGTCTCACTGTTTCAGCCTCCCCAGTGCTGTGATTACAGGTTTGTGTCACCATGCTCATTTTCTGTGGCTACCTGCAAACCATATGGTAGCAGGGATTGAACCCAGGTCCTTGCACTTGCCAGGCAGGCACTTAAGACTACTGAGCTATCTCCCCAGCCACAATTTTTTTGATTTTGGAGATGGGCTCTTGCTTTATATAGTCCAAGCTGACCCTCAATGCAGTCTGTAGCCCAGACTAGTATGATGCTGCCTCACCTTCCCACCTCTCATGTGCTAGGATTATAGGCAAACACTGTGCCAGATACCATTTGCTTACTTTTTAATGACCATGGAAATATAAAAAAAAGAAGTAATGAATTAAATTCATAGATAAGATTTTCTTTCTTTTTTGGAGTTGAGGATTGAACCAAGGACCTCAAACAAGCAACACATTCAGTCCCCGTAAATAAATTTCTTCAACATCGACTTTTGACTGATAAGCTAAACAGCTACTGTTTATATATTATGAAACATTTTATCCATACTTTATATGCATCAGGTGCTAAAAATGAATAAATAGGAAAAAGAAGATATCCTCTTAGTGAGGGTGCTAATTATCAGTACAATGAATAAACAGTAGGTGAAAGAAAAATTAATAAGTGTTTCCACTCTTTATTCTTAAAGTACTGCACATGCACTTCTGATTGAGCTCACCCATTTGTTGAAAAAGGAGACAAAGCCATATCCCTTAGACTTTCCAGTTGCCATATCTTTTACCACTCGAGCATCTCTGCAAACAGAAACAGTCAAAAGTTTAGGTTTACTAAACGTCCTCTGGATAGAAAGTGAGAAGTTCACACACAACTCTTCATGTTTTACCATCATTAAAGTGAGCCTTTAATGAACTTGTACCTTTTACTATAAAATTTATCATGTATTAGCAAATGAGGCTTCAGAGACATGCAAATCAGTAACTTCTTAAATATATGTACATACTATACAGAAACTGCCTCCCATTTCAAAATGTTTTTTTTTAATTTTATATATTAAGCATGGTGAAAGTAACTATTCATATGAATTACCACTTAACCACTAAAAATTTCCCAAGTACAATAAATGAATGGCTTTCTTTAACCATGCAACTTATAATTTGCTATTTGACACCGTATTCTACCTAATCATTAAAAAACTTAAAATAGAAAACCAGAAACTAAAAGAATTTTAAAAATTATATATTTCCTAAACTAATTAAATTATTTCATTTTTTCAAATTAATCTACACCCCCATTTTGGGCTAGGGTAAAGTGAGAACTTTATTTTTCAGAAATGTTAAATCATTGAAGAAAAATACTAGATATACACTTTAGTTTTAAATTATATAAGAAAGATTTTAGACTGAATTTTATAATAGCATTCATATTAAGATTGATTGGAAACTACAAAATAATAAAAGCGAAATTTTAAAAAATCAGAAAAGTAAAAAAGCACGCCAACATTTATCCACTGTGAACTGTAGCTTGTAGTTAGCCAGGGCAATTCTGTCCATTCTTCAGAGACACTCTGCAAAATAACCAGAGCCCTATTATTTGAGATTGAGTAAAAACCCAGCCATGATAGCTAAAACTCCATACCTCAAAAAATTGGACTCAAATTGTGCTTCACAGGCAATCTGCTTTTAAGTTAGCCAGGTATGTCACAATGCTTGTTCTCTCAGGACACATGAACAAAACAGGCACTTTTATAACAAAAACCCAAGTCAGAAAGCCATGCAATGTAATTGTATTATTAATTAAAGTATACATAAGCATATTTTAGATTAATTTCGGGGTGATTTATTAAGTAAGTCAAAATGACAAGGAGGTGTTGGTGAAAAGGGAGAGCTAATGCAAGTCACTGCTCAATATATAAAAATACTTCTTAAATTATTTAGAGGGTACACATGCATTTAATTTGGTAACTGATACACTTCTATCCCAAAATTCGCTGTTACCCTAGCCTCAAGAAACAGGAAAAGTGTAAGCTGTGTAAAACAGAGAAAGTATATTTTTTTATATGAAATATAGCTTAACTGGCCACCATTTAATTTTATAACATCTTCAATAAACTACTATTGTAGTTTCCTTATAGAAAATATCTAACTATATTGAAAACTGTTCAACATATAGCTGTTAACTTATTTCTTGTAAGAACAATTATAAAAATCAGAAAAATATGCTACTCATTGCCAAACAGCTTATTCAAATTTAGGAAACCTAACTCCTTGCATAGCCTAAAACTCAGAAATTGTCCATTACCTCAACTAAAAATGATGAAAGTAAAAGAAAAAAAAAAACTTACTAAAAAAACCCCAATACATCAGTAATTGTGGGACCATAAGAAAATCCAAACTAAAAATGATGCCAATATACTGTATGTATGTATGTATGTATGTATGTATGTATGTATTTCTTTTGTTTTTTTGAGACATGGTTTTACTACATAGTTCAGGGTGGCCTTGAACTCACTATGTAGTTCATGGTGGCTTACAACTCAAGGCAATCCTCCTGCCTCAGCTTCTCAAGTGCTAGGATCACAGTATGCACCACCATCCTTGACCAAAATACTGTATTTGACAAAAAGAAATTATTGACCCATGATTAAAATAAAAAAGCTGCTAAAATTGGGTCATTTAATTTAAACTTACCAGTTACTAAATATTTGTATAATCCCAAGCTAGAATTTCCATTTTAAGCAAAATTACTTAAATAAAAAATTTGAAGCATTTAACAAAATAGTTAAATCTGTTTAAAATGTTAGAAAAAATTTTCTTTTCAAAGCTTAAGAAAATGTCAGGCCTAAAATCTATTCAACTGTTATTTCTCTCCCAAAGATTCTCTGAAAAAGCAGTAACAAAGATGTAGAACAAAGTTCTTAATCTCTTAAGGTCTTGTGAATACTCTGAGGATAGGACAAAACTTAATATGAATTCTGCAGAACAAAATGAAAGCACCCACGTTCTGTCCACAGGGACTTACAGAATCCTTGAACAGCCAAATACTCAAGTCTAGATATCTCAAAGCAAGCTAACCATTACTAGCTAACCATTACAAGCCCTGGACCTAACTCCTTTGCATAGGAAATATTAAAGCAGACAAAGAGGATGAATAAATTAAAATTTTATTTTCCTAATCAGTTTTTGCAAAGATAGTGTCATTTAACAGAAGAGTCCATTTATAAGCCCCATCTGTGACTGCCTTTAAAACTGGCTACTCCTCTGTCACTATGCATTTTCCTCCTTTTACCAATGAACTCTAATTCTTCAAATGAAAACTCCTACAGTTCATCACCAATGCTACTGACATTTACTTTCCATCTTCCTCCGATCCTGGTTTTTGCTGTTGGTCTGTTGAACTTAGCCCACAACTAGCACTTTCTATTTACTACTTGTCTAGCTATAATAATAAAAAGCACTCAGAAATCCTTAAAAAAATTGTTTCTAAATTCAAAAATTACTTCTAAGAGTATTATAAAGAGCTGTTCTCTCTAATATGGCATGCTTTTCTAGGAGTTCTTCTATGATGAGTGCTACCTTGAACAAAGCTACTTAGAAAGGATCTAGGAATGAGTGATTAATACCAAATGCAAGCAAGATAGTGCTTTACAAAACCTATAAGGTACTACTTTGTTAACATTAAAAAAAAAAGACAAAAACTAGGAAGTAACATTTAACAAGTGCTTTTTTTGTTAAGGTTTTTTGGTGTTAAATTATATTAACATAAAATGCATGGTATCAGAGAAGTGCCCAAACAATTGCTTAGTCAAAGCACAAGTTACTGAAGATCATTATCAAAATACCCACGTTAAAAAAAACTATAACATGTACAGTAGCAAATGTCAAAAACTAATGCTAGTTGAAAAGGATTTTAAGATAATTGACAAAAGATTTATTCATTAATGGGAAAATACTCTTTTGCTATTAATATCTTATCCCTAAACAATCTAATACACTACATTCAAGAGTTAAAATTAGTATCCCAAATTCACAACAGAACTATTTTAAACTTATTTTTACATAAAACTATTTGTAATCACAAGTATTTCATTTATCTTCTATTACTTACGATATTCTTCCAAATGGAGCAAAAGCTGCTTTTATATCTTCAGTCGTAATTTCTGGACTGAGATCACCAACAAAGACATGGAAATGATCTTATGAGGGGATAAAAGGGGAAGTGAAAAGAAAAATAGAACGTTAGAATTTGGAAAATATCACAATCTATCCAATAAAGTATTAAGATAATTTACAGATTATAATATAAAGCATAAGTAAAACTATACTATCTGTATACAAATTCTATTAATTTTAAACATAAATCAAGGTAACAGTACAGGAAAGATTCTTCTAAAAAGACTGATATAGCTAACTGAAAACTCATAGTTACATTTCTATTTATAGTCAATTATACTAGTCTAAGAGAATAAACTAATATATAACAAATTTTAGTTCTGCAAAAAAATTAAAAAGTTACCAATCTAATAGCAGTTATTTACTTTTATTCATTTTACCACTGTATTAAAGGCTTTACAAATTAAAATAAAATAGTGGTATTGCGAGTTCTGTAGACTAGATTTGCCTCAGTTAAGACAATTTACTGAAGCTAGCTACATGATCTACTTGGTTTAACCATATTTTGTGAAGAACAATCAAAGAAATACCTTGCATTGCAACAGTTTGATGTTAAAGTATTTTGACAGTTTTCTCAAAAGCCAACAGTTTTGGTTGCCCAGACATTACACCATTCAGTTTATGTGAATCCATGTGCAAGTGAACTAAGACTGAAGGCAACAGAATGAAAACAGTAATCCCTTCACTTTATATCAGAACCATTAAAAAAGCATTGGAAAGATATAATCATCCCATATGTGACGTTTTAAAGACAACACTCAAAAAAGAAACACTTAAAAAGGCAAAATGTTGGACAAACATTTTTAAAGGAACACATATATATATTATATATATCAATTTTGACAAAGCATATTTGGAAAGAAAGATTACCCCTATTTGGAGGCCTTAAGCAACATACTGGGCTGCTCTTTGGGAAACAGTTTTACGAGCAACTTGAGCACTTGGAAGATCTGGAGACCTCAAGGAAACAGAGTATCTTGCCCTCTAGGTGGTGAAGTATTTCTAGGATATCAGCTGCTACGAAGGGGTCAGAGTTGAACTAGCACTACAGTGGTGGACAAGCCACATTTGGTGAACAAGGAAAACGAACAAAATACTGCCAGAGACAACAGAAATGCTATCTCCTCCCTCCCCCCGCCCCCAATATCAAACAAAAAAACTTCAGGTGGTTAGTGAATAGCCTTTGCAAGAGATTTCATTTTATGTTTAAGAAGATACAATTACCTTGTGAACGCTGTGTGCTGACAACGGTACTACCTGATGACAAAGATTAGATTTGTTCTTAAATTTATTAACACAAACACATTAAATCATATCTTAGGATAACGATCAAAATATTACTTCAAACATGTATAATGTTTATATGCTTTACAATAAAACTAGTGGGTATAATAAAAAACAAATATTCAAAGAGTACAAAATATACTTACTGCTTGTATCTTTCTTTTGACTGCTGGGGGTTGTTGCCCAATTCACTTTGACTTCCTAAAAGAAAATTTCTGAATTTATACTCCATAATAATAAAAGTTCAAAACAAGACTTTTATGTATGAAGACAGAGAAAAGATGAAACAAAGAGATACCAGTTGTGGTTAAAGATTCAATAATCACCTTTTGACCTACATTTATGCAAAGCACTTAAGATACTGTGACCCCTCCCTGTCCCCACCCTGGTCCTGGGGATGAGCCAAGTCGTTGCACATGCTAGGCAAGAGCTCTAAAACTGAGCAATATTCCCTGAAATATCCTAATCTTTATACATCTGTATTAATGTTGAAATAACTGTTTTAACCAAAGTAACCAACAGATTTTCCCTTTATCATTACCCATTAGCACTGAATGTTGCTAAATGTTTTATCCAAGCTTGAGTAATGTGACAAATATTACTTTATCATGTGAATTTATGAGTATCTAAAATGTACCAATAAATTTAATTAAAAAAAATTTATCATGTGCAAAGAGCCAGAGAGAATGCAAATATAAACACAGGCCTCTTCCTTCCTGAAAGCTTTATAGCACCTTCAAATATAAAATGTGAGCATGTAGTTAACCTTTTGCTATAAAGTGAATTTATTAATCTGATAGGGGTCTGGGGAGAAGGCTCAGTGGCATAAGCGCTTCCCTGGCAAGTGCAAGGGCCTGAGTTCAATCCTCGGTTCCATAAATAAATAAATAAATAAATAAATAAATAAATAAATAAATAAATCTGAGATAGGGTCTTGCTGTGTAGTCCAGGCTGGCCTCTAATACACAGGAAATCCTCCTGCCTCAATGTTCTGTGTGCTCACATTACAGGTGTGTGTCACCACACCCAACAATATAATGCTTCTAAAAAGGGAATCAAACCATAAACAACTTAAAAATTTCCAGGCAAGTCACCTTTCATTATGACAGCTTACCTTACCCATTATCTTCCGCCCATTCATAGCAGCAAGTGCTGCGGCTGCATGGCGATGTTCATGAAACTCCACAAAACAGTATGGATCATTTCCAGCTGTCTGTTGGAGAAGGGATACCAAAGTCAATTTCAAACTTTATTCGATTATCTTAAAATCATGTAGAGATTTTTTTTTTTTTTTTTTTTTGCGGAACTGGGGATTGAACTCAGTCCCTTGCACTTACCAGGGAAGCGCTTATTCCACTGAGCCATCTCCCTGGCCCCCATGTAGAGATTTTAAAACCAAGTTTTAAATGCTTCAGTTATCAGGTCATTGAGAATGAGTGACCCATTCCACAAGCAAATTTTTAGATAAAAAAGGAAACGCTGAGGGCAGGGTATATAGTGCTTGCCCATCATGAACAGGCCTTGGTTCACTCCCCAGTACTGATGCCCCAAAGTAGGCACTTAAAGAGAAAACTATACAGAAAGCTTTCTTCATCAGCCAGGTATGCTGGCACATGCATGTAATCCCAGCACATGGGGGGCTGAGGCAGGAGGATCACAAGTTGAAATTCAGTTGGGCAACTTAAGACTTTCTCTAAAATATAAAATAAAAATAAGTAAAAAGGCTAGTTTAGTGTGATCACCAGTAGCAAAAAAAAAAAAAATAAAGAAAAATTTTGATATGTCATCCTCTTTGGCAGGTTGTTATGCTACTAAAGTTTAATAATATATAGCTATAAATATAATAATTTCTATTTTTCCCCCACCATGTATCTTTAAGCTACATAGTTTTGAAGGTTTATGCCAGGGATGGTGCACACACCTGTAATTCCAGCACTTAGAGGAGGCTGAGGCAGAAGGATCATTTTGAGTTTGAGGCCAACCTGGGCTATATAGCGTGACCCAGTCTCAAAACAACAAACAATTCTTATTTTAACATTTTTTTGGGGGGGAGGGGAGAGGTTGAGAGAGAGACAGGGTCTCCCTGTGTAGTTCAGGCTGACCTTAAACTCACAGTGATCTGCCTCAGTCTTCCCAGTGCTGACCTTATAAGTGTGTGCCACCAAACCTGGTGACAATTTGATTTTTTTCTATACGTTATGTTACTTTTTATTGCCATAAAATCTCTTTGCTACTTCTAAATTGTTGCGTAGCAGAAAACTTTTTTAATCTCTTTCTTTTTAAAATCTTTTATTTGGTACAGGGTTTCGCTGTGCAGCTTAAGACTCATAGTGATCCTCCTGGCTCACTCTCTCCGGCACTGGGATTACAGGCTTGCACCACCACATCCAGTTTCAGGGCAGCAGTACCAAGGATCCTGGTACCAGGGATTGAACCCGGGTCTTTGAGATTGCCAGGCAGGCCCTTAAGACCACCAAGCCATCTCCCTGGCCCATAGCCAATCTTTTTCAACCTGTTTATAAAATAGGCTCTGGAGCCTAAGTTCTCTGGCAAGCAAAGTTTTAGAAAACATTTTACAATGTGTTCTCTTTTTTTGAGACAGAGTCCTTCTATGTAGTTTCTAGCCTTGAACCCATCACAATCCTGCTGCCTGAGCATTCCCTGGAATTACAGGCGTGTGTCACACCTGCTTTACAGAAGGATTTTTTTTTTTTTTTTGGCTCTGAATGCCTTCAGGGCAGGTTTGGCTGGCTTGGTTGTGGGGATGGAGCCACAGCAACCTGAGCCTGACTGCTTTGTTGAAACAGCCACTTAAAGAACTGAGCTGGGCTGAGGAGGTAGCTCAAGGGCATAAGTGTCTGCCTGGCAAGCCCAAGGTCCTGAGTTCAATCCCCAGTGCCACAAAAAAAAAAAAAAAAAAAAAAAAAACTGAGCTAACTCCCCCGCCCTGCCCACACCTTCTTTACAATGTGGACTTTCTGTCACAAATTTTTTTTTACCTGCTCAGAGCTTTTAAAAATGTTTGTCCTCTTGTTTTTGTACTCTTGTTTTTGTATACTTGTTTTGTATTTCTCACTATGCAGTTCAGGTTGCCCTTGAGCTCACTTTGTAGCCCAGGCTGGTCTCAAACTTGTAATGATCCTCCTACTTGAGCCTTCTGAGTGTTGAGATTATAGACCTGTCACCATGCCTGGCTCTTCTCTTTTAGCAACTGGGATTATATGTTCATAAAACCTGGATAGATTAGTTTATCTTGGTGTCCTCAAAATCAAACCCAGGGCCTTATGAAGGCAAATTTTCTACCACTGAGCTCTTTTCCCAGCCTAAGCCTTTGGGATGTTTTATTGTAAATGAAAGCAGGGAAACCCAGTGTTTTACACTCATCAGTATAAAATACCACATAACTTTTACATTGGGATTACACATTGTTTGTTTTACACAATTAAAAGAACATAAAAATTACATGATCTAAGTTGTGTGACAGCACAAAGCTGTGATTCTAGCACTTTGGAAAGCTGAAGCAACAGAGTTCTACACGCTAGTCCTGCCTGAGCAATTTAGTGACTTTGTGAAAGAATGTGTCAAAATATAAAATTTTAGGGCTGGCCAAATAGCTCAGTGGATTAAAACGCCTGCTTAAGCACAGCACAGGGACCGGGGTTCCATCCCTGGCATGCAGCGCCAGCCCCACCCCCAAGGCATGCTGAGACAGTGATTGAGACTGAGTGTGGTGGTGTGTGCCTATAATTCCAGCACTTCGGAGGCTGAAAACAGGAGAATCACTATGAGTCTGATCTAAGTAGTGAGACCCTGTACTAAATACAAAATAAAAATAAAATATTAAAAACAATGGCCAGGCATGGTGGCACATGCCTGTAAGCCCAGCACTGGGAGGTTGAGACAGAAGGATCATCACAAACTCAAGGCTAGCCTAGGCTACAAAATGAAACTGTCTCCAAAAATACCCCCAAAACCAAAAACCAAACACCAAACAACTTTTATCATTCAAACAGATGATTCCCTTAATGGGTATTCTATTACAAAGAAACTGTTGACGGGTATTAGAGTGTGGGTAGACACACTAGTTTGCGTGTAGGGGTAGAAGAAAGAGGGCTGCAGATATAACTCAGTGGTAGAGTGCTTGCCTAGCAGGTACAAGGCTCCAGGTTCAATCTCTAGCAATGGGAAAATATTTGAAGAGTGGAACAAACAAATGGAAAAACAACATGTATGTTACTTAATGTGCATCCAGAAAAACTAACTTTGAAAGTAAAAATAAACTACCCATATATACATATTGCTAGCTTCAATTCAGGAGCATAATGATCCGTACCCAGGCAAATAAACAGCTAGAGAGGGACAACAGCAGCTCCATACAGCTAATGGACATCTATAGCCAGATAGATCAATGAGGGCTATATCCTTGCTTTGCTGTATTCCCTTGCGTGAATGTTTTCTTTACAAGGCTTCTACTGAGCATTTGTGATAATGCAATAACATAACTGGCAATAACAAGTAATCCGTGTTACCACTGGGAAAAGACCTAGATCAAGAAAGACGGGTTTTACCTTTCCTACCATATTTTCCCAAATGCTTTTCTCCTTAATTCCCTTATGCTTTCAGAGACTAGCTCCCCCACTTTAAAAGTTGGGGGGAGAGGGGAATGTTGGAGATTGAACACTGAGCTACATCCCCAGTCTTTTTTTTTTTTTTCTTTCTTTCTTTTTTTTTTTTTGAGATAGGGACTTGCTATATAGTTGAGGTTGGTCTCGAACTCACTACACAGTCTAGGCTGGCCTTGACTTGGGATTCCTCCTCCCTCAGTTTTCCAAAAGCTGGGATTATGAGCATGTACCAGCCCATAATCCCGTTTTTATTTTGAGACAGGGTCTTGCTAAATCACTAAATTACCAAAACTGGACTATTTCTATTCGTTCAACCTAAACCTCCTAGAGTGCTAGGATTACAGGCATGAACCACTATTCCTGGCTGGTCTCACAGAGATCTATTTTATCCAAAAGCATAGCAATATTAAATACGATAGAAGATAAAGACAAAAACAGCTGTTGATCCCATCTACATAATTAGATAACTGTGCAGCAGGAGAAGATAAGCTGGACAACATTTAACAGGTAACACATTAACTTGACTAATTATTGATTACTATTTTTGGTAGTATAGACTCTCATTACAGTGCTGAGTCTGTCGTTGATCTCATTCTCCTGCCTCCACCTCCCATATAACTGGGAATACTAAAGGTGTGCAGCACCACGCTTGACTAAACAATGATTTTTTTTAAAACACCAAGTTAAAAATGTTAAACTGCAATTTTTCTGGAAAAAAGAAAACCAGAAAAAAAATCATTTTTCTTTCTTTTTTCTTTTTTTCCTTTTTGTTGGTATTGGGGATTGAGCCCAGGGCATTTACACTGAGCTACACTGCTAGCTCTTTTTGAGAGAAGTTGTCATTTAACTACCAGGTGGGATTCAAACTTGTGACCCTCCTATGTCAGCTTTCCAAGTGCTGGCATTACAGGCATGTAGCCAGGAAAACCAGAAATTTTATAGGAAGGAAAACCATAGCATAAAATAACTTCTTTTCCAAATATCAAAAACTCGCCTCATCAAAATTAAAAAATTAGGGCTGGTGAGATGGCTCGGTGGTCTAAAGCACCTACTTAGAACAAGCTTAGCGAAGCACAGGGACCGCGGTTCAATCCCCCAGCACCACATGCCAGCCAGCCCTGCCTGTGGTGGACTGAGCTGGCCACACACACACACATATAAATAAATAAAATTTAAAAAACAAAAAATTAAAATTAAAAAAATATATACAAAAAAATACAAAAAAAATATATGTACATATATCTCTTAAAACTGCTTAAGTGCAAGAAAAACTTAAATCACGACCTTCAAAAATAAAGTTAAGGGCTCGTGAAATAGTTCAGTAGGCTAAAGCGCCTGCTTAGGCAAACACAGGGACCGAGGTTTGATCCCCTGCTCCACATGCTACACCAGCCCCACCTTCAGAGTGGACTGAGCTGGCCACACACACGCACACACAAAGTTAAAAACATTTTCACTGTGTAAAATGTCTATACTCATTTCCTAATCTAATTATAGAAACTACATTTTAATAAGTTGGCAACCTGATACACAAAATAAATTCTGATACTTCAATGAATCTGCTCTAAAAATGACTGCTTCTATTCTATTCCTTTAGTCAAATAAATTAAATCTTGTTGCCAGATAATCATTAAATTCACTGAAATCCTTACAGATTTAAATATAAGTCCTAGAATTAATGGCTTTAACTAATATGTCTAAAAAGAAGAAAGTTAACTAAGTAAAATACCCTTACATCCATAATCATTTTGCAGTTTTTACATGGTCCAATCTGACTAAAGAGCTGGAGAATTAGCGCTTCTGTCACATCTCTGGAAAGGTTACCGACGTATCTGAAACAGAAAAAAAAGTTTAGTATTTTAGATTTGCTTCTTTTTTTATTGGTTTTTAAAGGTGCTTGCTGGAAAATAAACTCTGGGAGCATGAATCTTTGCCTTAAAAGATGTGTTTGAAAAACTTTCTATAAAGTTTGTCAACACTTTACAATCTTTCAGGTAAATATAAAACGTGCTATTTGCAAATGCATTTGACACTGCAACTAGAGGGAAAGCTAATGTATAAGCACATGCTTATATATTTTAGTCAAAGTTTTAAAAATTAAACCTATTGTCTGTTTACATTTCTAGACTTACCTTCGAGCATACATTTTTAAAAACTTAAAGACGAGAGGCTGGGGAGATGGCTCAGTGGAATAAGCGCTTCCCTGGCAAGCGCAAGGGCCTGAGTTCAATCCCTGGTTCCACCAAAAAATAAATAAAAATAAAAACTCAAATTTTTTTTTCTTTCTTTCTTTTTTTTTTTTGATATCAGGGATCAAATCCTGCACTTGCTAGGATTTGATCCCTGCACTTAGGCCACTGAGCTATTTCCCCAGCCCTCTTTTGGTTTATTTGAGATAGCATCTCACAATGCAGCTCAAGCTGGCCTCAAACTCACTATATAGCCCAGGCTGGCCTCAAACTCATGTGATCCTCCTCCCTCTGCCTCTTAAATGCTGGGATTACAGGTATACACTACCATGCCCAGCTAGCTGTAAATGAATCATTATTATTTAGGATATTTTATATAAGCAATCCTGGGAAGCATTATAATTATTTCTACTTCTGTATTGTTACTGAGAACATTAATTTCTTCCTGACTCATATGTGTGTGTGTGTGTGTATATATATACATATATA